ATCATAATATTATCAGTGAATCTCATTTTGAATAATTTAATTGTCAATACAAATCCCAAGTCTAAAATTCGTACCACGGGGTAAACATTACCGTCTTTCCCTGTAGTACTGTTTCATAACTAATGTGTTTCGCTAACGTTACATGCAAGTAGTAAATGCTTCCACTAACGTTATTGACTGAGTGGACAGAGTGTTTTGCCTTCGAATGGTGCACTGTAGAAGTGCAACACCAGCGAAAGTACTTCGTTAATACTGTTGATCTTTGGTTGTCTTCCTCCACTTCCACTGAGGTGGTGAGCTGGGTATTGCTTGGCAACGCGGAAGAATTTTTAAAATATCCAAGGGTATGGTGTGGAAATACTATAATTCTCAAAAACTTGGAACGGCTGCTTTAGAAGATATTTGTGATTTGTATGCAATAAAAATACGGAGGCTTTGGGAAAAACGACTTTCTACCTTGAACTTAGTATTGACAGTGAATGAACTATACTAGTATTTCGCAATATAAATATTTTGAATTTCATTTATGATTACTGGTTTACTTGACAGTGAATCATGGACTTTTTTTCGAAATACTTCAAGTATAAAAAAAGTGATGCAATTAGAATTTCATTGACTGGTACAACCAGTTTGCACAGCTTAACTCTTTGAGGCCGAAGGTGAGGACTACTGTATGTCAGACGTCGAAAGCCCGCCCACGATACCCATAATACTGTACAGTACATCGTGGCCCGAATATCCTAAGTTATCCTTCTTTTCGGCTTTCCAGTGTCTATCAGCATTGGTGGTAGCATCGCGGTTAGCGTAGAATTCCCTCATTAAAACAGTTCCACTGTTGTTTTGACCCGAAATACTGTTTCAATGAGATTTATAAGGAACTTTGTATGCTCAGTCCACGTCACCTCTTACTAGGGGTTAAGTGTATCTCAGTGGTTAGCGATAGCTAACCACTAGCGATGCAGTTAACCGGTTAGCATCGTATGTACTCACTGGGGGTAGGACGGAGTTCCAGGTTACAGGGCCACTGGAGAAAAGATGTATCCGGATGAAATAATTCCCTCATTGAAACAGTATTTCGGGTCAAGACAACAGTGGAACTGTTTTACAGTTAATGACGGAATTATTCCGGTTAGCGTCTTTGCTCGTTTGAAATGATGTGTTACTGTAGCATCTATTGGTAATTGAACTTACTTACAGTTAATGTAACAAATGAAGCGCTTTTCGAAAACGGTTAAATAATCTTTAGTAACGTTCTCACTATATCAGAGGTAAGCTTACACATTATTTAAAATATCGAGCAACTACTATTAAATTAACCTACTTCATTATAATACTACGTTTCGTCGCTGGGATCGTTGCTTGCGTGCGCAAAGCACAGTTTTTTAGTTGGGCATTCTCGCTTCATCAAGTAGAATACGTGATTGAAGACGAAGAGACTAACAAAATAGCATCAAAATTGGCCCACTGGAAAATTTCTCTCGCCCAAACGGACAGCAATGAGGTGACACGTCATGAAGTGGAGTTTACAGTATGTTAGGTGAAGTTGTATGCATGTAAAAGTGCTTCGAGTGAAAAGATCAAACAGATTACGCTGTGAGGTTTGAACTCCAGCCAGGATGAATGTCGACTTCGAAGCTTGAGTGCAGTATGATTGTTATTTCACATTAACAGAAAATGCACTGTGATGAATACTGTTTTCAGCCAATCATATCGCGCCTTGGGCACAAAATAGCCAATTAAATGCCATCGTGCGAATCTGAAAATGCTGATATTTCATTTTCGCGATGTCGACTCGGTCGCGAGTTCAAAATAAACTATACTTTATCCGGAAATGCTTTCCAATACTGGTACAGTACTACAGTACTACTGTACTGGTAGTAGTACTGTACAGTAGTACCATAGGGACTCACCCGTCCTCTTCGCACACGTGTTTCGTACGTGGTACTGTAAGTACCGTAGATGTGTCACGGCTTATCTGACAACGTCACGCAGCAGGAATCCACAATCAGGTATGTGTCGAGTAATTCCCTTGCATAAACATGACAGCAAACCTAGCGAACGAAGGAGAACACTCAATGGGTATAAGCCCCTCGTACCCCTTGGATGGGGTGATTGGGCTCAGTGCTGATTTTTGTAGCGACAGCAATACGATTCATATGAGGGATCTACCGGTATACATGCAAATTGGTCCTTTGGTCAAAGCTGTTCATTCAGGGGGGGTGATTTGCATCTGTTTGGGACAATCTATCATCGGAAGACGTAAAAAGGTCAATGTGACATGATCTATTTCTAGTGTAGAGTAGTACATTCGTTTTCTCGGGGGCGATCAAGTAGGGGCTGGATAACACAGTACTGAATCGCGGTCTATGTTGAGGTATCTATGGTGTACCTCGGTGACCCACAAGTGCCCAAGTTGGGACACTTCTGCATGTCAATCAGCAGTAAGTAAGTAAGTACTGTAGCACACAACCATGCAAAAAAGCAAAACGTGACTTCTGGTAGAACTCCATTTTAGTCATTTTCGAATTGAGACGCGCGATGCAAGGCACCGCAGCACCAAACGAAAACCGCCGACGGGGCACGTGCTCGGTGACGGATTGCACCAACCAGGTGTACGCGCGGCAATTGTGCTGCCGCCATGGGGCCAAGAAGCAGTGCATTGTCACCGGCTGCTCCCTCCGTGCGCGGCTCAACGACGTGTGCTTCAAGCACGGAGCCCAAAAGAAGCAGTGCATCGAGCAAGGATGCGCGCAGCCAGCGCAAGCCCGGCAGCGCTGCGTCAAGCACGGCGGTGGTCGCCATTGCAAGGTCAACGGATGCTTTGCACACTCCCGAGTGGGAGGGTTCTGCCAACGACACCGCCTCCCTGGATCGTTGCTGGAAACGATGGACATGAGCTGGGACGAGTCCAAGGCCCACAACGACCGATCGTATTCAGTGGCGTCGAATAGCGATGTGTGTGCATCAGCAGACACGTCCGCGGTGGTGTTGGACCCGTGGGTTCTGTGTCTGGTGGACCCCATCAGATTGAATCAACATACCTGCTGCTGGAGCAATCTCAGCGAAGAAGACAGTGCCATGATGCAGGACATCTTTGGGTTGCTGGCAAATTAGGTAGGTTCACGATTAACGCCATCATGGGAATATTTATTGATGCGAGTATCGCAAAAATGGACGCATCTATCTCGTAGATGTGTGTTCACTCTTTTGACGACAACACAGGCAAGAGTTGATGCAGCGCACCCAGGTTATACTGTACCCCTTCGGTAGTATTGGACAAATCACTATCACCATGCTAAGCCGTAGACTCCACGACTGACAAAGCAAATGGGAATGGCGACTTGCTGACGTATACTTCATTCAGAATGAAGTACCCTCGGAACACAGTCAGTCGGTAGGTTTACCTGCCCAAGGTTTGAGGCTAGAGGCTACATTTATACCCTCAAGTTTCGTTAACCTCTGCTAGGTACAGTACAACTATAGTTATAGCGCACTACAAGGACTCGGGCGAGGCTTGTGCACTGCGAAATCAGCTGCGCAACACAGTTAATGTTAACATTTTTCATTCGACGACGCAAGTGTCATGCGTGTCCCGTGTTGAGACAACACCGTACCGTACTGGTGTTCATATGTAGCAAGCATTATGCACTGTACATATACTTTTTTTAGTACATAGTACTACTTACAGTAATTAACACTAGTATTAGTAAATACTACGTAACGTTAGTAGTATTAGTACATGTAAAGAAACTGGTGATGGATGTTCCTTCCGCCAAGATTGACAGGAACTCTCGCGACAATCTATTTTGGACCACTGATCAAATTACCCAAGTGGTAACGCATCACGTAAAACCTCTTGCCCAGGTGACCCGATGAAATTGGAGAGCATAGTGCCGTTCACGATCTCGTAGATCAAGCACTTTCGCAATTACTTCGAAGCAAAACACAAGTAGAGCTGACCGATAAGACGCAGAGAATGTCGGGATGACTGGCTTCGACGTGGGAGCATAATTGGCGAGGAGGGAGGGCCCCACAACACAGTCGTCGATATTTCTCACTCTACAATTGTGTCGCAACCGGCCCACTGCAGATTGAAATGTCAGTCGATTATTCTATGGCTGTGTGAGCCACACATGTCACTGGGGCGTTTCTTGTCCAAAGAATGATCGATGCATCAGGCGTCATCACGATGTCGTAAGACACGTCTCCTTTTATAGCCCCAAAAAATATAGGTACGAAGTATTGCAATATTGCGAACAATCCCACCCACAGTACAGTATACTAAGCTTAGTAGTACTACAGTAGTACTGTACTCCGAGTATGTACAGTTCCGGTATACTATATGTATACTAGTAGTACTACTAGTAATAAGGGTTTTATGGGGGCCTTCTGGGATGATACCAGGGTCATACAAACTCTAATATAAATATGAAGTAATGAGAATTTGGCAGTTTTGAAACTAGACCATGATATTATACTCACTTGATGAATTCATGAACCTTGGTCATCCAATAAAATGTTGTGTGACCAGTAATTATAGCCAATCAGTGAAGCCGAATCAGGTTTTTTTAGTGGATGCTAGCACCTGCTAACACATTTTGGGTGTGATTCTCATCGACACATTTTGGACGGTGACGGTGACCATGGCCATGCATCACGTCAATGCAAACCATTTCAAGTGTAGTCTGAAGAAATATTATTCGAAAGAATCGTTGAAATTGTATCAGTAATAAAGAAGTTACAGTGTCCTACTAGTATGCATATTCCCAAAAGTACATACAGTATTGCACGAGCGCACCAAAACGGTATCCAGATTTATTGAACGTTTTTCAGGGTTAGTCGGCGCACCAATAAGAGCAGCAGCTCCACTGTAGCTTAGGTAACCATTTCACTTGTTCTTATTATGTGATAGTTAAATGCAATGTAAACCAAAATAACACATTCCAGCTAAGGGTCAAGTGCATTTCAGTGGTTAGCGATAGCTACCCAGTGTAGAAGCAACTTTACCCTGGGAATATAGCAGCACAAGGGGTCCAGGGGGTTGAGGTTACAGGGCTACTGGTACTATTGAAATGGAAAGGTATACGAAGCAACAGTGGCCCTGTTGCGCTCCGGGAATTATTCGGGGTGCACTGGTATCCACCAAACACCGCAGATGTGTGCTTCTTTTGTTATTTACACAGAACCCATTAATCGTACTTCGAAGTACAGTGTAGTACCATTTGACAGTGAAGTACAGTACTAGTACTACGTAGTACTAGTACTCCATATTATACAGGCGTAACAGGTACTAATACAAGTACAGCTGTACTAGTGTATAATAGTACTACTTTGCATTGTGAAGGAAGCAACTCAAAATCAGAAGCGATATGAAATGCGCGTCGACTGTTTTGAAAGACCTGATCATCTGATTGTTAGAGTAGCACGATTTGCACTTCTACGTCTTGATCTGTGTCATTCCATCCGGAATTATCCGGTCTTCTGTTCATCCGGAATTATCCGGTCTTCTGTTCTGTTGACAGTGAAGCCAGCCAATCAAGGTTCCACTCCAACACGGCAGCTCAGGTAACCTCCTTTACAAACAAATCCCTCCTGATTAATTGAGTTTGGATTATCATTTTTAAGACTTTCCTCCGCGAGGGCCGACACTAGAACCACATGTTATGGAACCGCTTCGCCAATTGTAACGCGCCTGCTCGACCAGGGGCGGTGTGTAATCTTCGGTTTTTACTTCGCTCAACGCTTCATACCTCGTACTTCGACCGATCTTCTTCGAAGTTCGGTCCTCGTCTTCGTACGCAGCGCTTGTTATCCGGATTCTCCAGGGGAGGGACGGATAAATCCTTGCGGAAATAATCCGGGGAATCCGGGGATCGAACCCACGACCTTTCAGTTAAGAAACCGATGCTCTACCACCTGAGCTATTCCCCCCCCAAATCCCTCCTGAGAATACGGTAGTAAGTACACAATGTTATTTTAGCACCGGTAGTTAACTTAATCTCACGCCGGGGCTTACGCTTCGACACCCCTGTACCAATCTTGTGAAACTTAGTGGGCGACAATGGGGGTGTAATGGTGGGGAGATAAAATTGGAGACTTGCAAACAAGTCGATATGACTCCTCGTATACCATATAGTACTTGACTCAAACTAATTACATTTGAAATACTAATATAGAACATCACCGGTTTTATTTGTATGTTCAAACGAGGAACTCCCCTCGAATTCGAAGCCAGCAACCTCAACAACTAAACCAACACTTTGAGTTTCACAACGCATCGTCGGTTTCATAAACAAAATTCCTATTTTGACTCCCCCTAATTGTCACGAACAAAAACCAAAAGTGATGATGAACGGACTGCTTACATAGTTGGCCTATGATAGGGCAGAAACAGTTCTTTCACGTAGAGTGGGAATAAACAATACTATTACCGGTAATAGCAATGTTAAGCGACGCTCATACGCATGCAAGGTGTTCCTACAATTTGAAGAAGGCTACACAAGCTGATATGTTTGATTGCCTTTGCAGATGAAGCCACAAGTGGAAGTTACTGTACAGTACTAACGATAGTATGATGCACGTCACCTAAATACTACCAACTTTTCATAAAATTTTCTTCTATTTCGTATTCATTACCAAAATTTCAGCAAATTGAGACGTAGAATCGACAGATCTCAATGTGGTGAAGAAATTCTCCTTATCAGATTCAAATTTGGTGATGAATTGGTCCAGAAATAGATATTTAATATAGCGGTACAGTATTTTACATGGGCGCTTGCTTGGGTATCATAGGGGTGAAGCTGAGATGTATCTTGATTTTTGTATACAACTCTTATCCGTGTATAATATCCGGAGGCAGTTGGGACCTTTAACCTCCGACTGTAGTGATAAAACGCATGAAATCGGTATTTAACGTATTTGATTTTTGGGTTTAAGGTAATCCATCAATATCGCGAACGCCATCAATATCGCGAACGGTTGTCATTATATCCAATCCAATGGCTTCATTCTGTAATGACGAGTTTTCATTGGATATGATTATATTCAGCCAAAGGATCAGGATACCACCTTGAAGTTCAAAACTATGTTCATTTTTATGTTGTCGAATACAAATTTCAACTTGTATCTTATTATAATGCCTTCAAATTTAATGTATAATTGAGTTCATGTATAAATTAAAACGCGTCACGACACCCAGGTATATTATTTTGTAAATTAATATTCCATACATACAAAACTAAGATATTACGACCGTTCGCGAAATACAAAGCCAAAAAAGTTTCACCAATTCTTAACGTTACGTTATAATTTGAAAATACAAATCGATTATTGGGATATTTCAGGCACTTCTTAGCACTAAAAAATGCAGCTGGATTTATATTTTCCAACGCTACCTTTAGTTTTTTTTTATTCGAGGGACTTTTTGTGGTGGAGTGCTTCAAACATTTGATATTTTAGTGCACAAAATGCGTTCGCGATATTGATGGATTACCTTAACTACATTAATTGTACGTTATTTGGCCAGTTGGAAGTTTTTAGATGACTAGGTAGTACAGTACTACGTACTCTGGAGTAATGTTACAATTAATAGTTGTAATTTGTAAGGAAATGACTTTACTTTGACAAGATAATAACTGATTCACAATTAAACCTATCAAAATTGTTTGTTTTTCTTATTTTTCAATAAATTGTTGATGAGCTTGTTCTTGATGTGGTTGTCATGCAAATATCTAAGTTTTAGAGGTTGAAAAAGTTGCCTGAGCGTGGATTTGGAGGTTCTCTGCCGCCTTCCTCGGAAATGTCTTAACCGTCTCAGTGAGTTTTCCTAACTTATCGATTTACAAGGGTTTTATTTCATGAAGGAATCATACGGCGCATAATATTGAACATAGATTATTGAGATAACGTTAACCGTTATGTGATTATTCCTACTACTCGGGGGTACTACGTAGTACTATTGTACTTAGAAGTACTGTAAGAGCATCTCCAACTGTAAATTCTAACCTATTGCTAAAGCACATGGTTAACACTGTAAAGTCAAACTCCGTTTTTACGGTTGCTATTTTGGCATTATCCGGACATTTTAGAAATTACGTCCTGCATTTCGCGTGAAATAGCTCCAAACCCTACGGATAGTGCAAGAGTTTCTATTCTATATCCGTAACTTGGAATTGAAATAGAAATAAAAACACCGTTGGGCGTCACGCCAACCACGGTACTATTAATAGTATTACGGAGTACTGTAGTAGCTGACAAGGGTGGTGTTGACTTCGCAATGCTCAACTATATCCTTATAAATGTGCTCAAACTTCGTGCGTTTTGATTGCCTATTTGAGTTATCTCCAAATTCCCCGACAACACGTGTAATTTGGGTCTCCAGCAGTGTATTTTTATACAGTACCCCTGTTGTGGGGGAATTAGTCGCAAAAAGCGGACCCAAGAGACAGGTAGATCCGAAATCCAAAATAATCTACATAACGTTATTTTGCCTCGTCCACGGCAGATCATCAATTACTGATAATTGCTGAACTGCATCGCAGTGCCAAGAAGCACTGATTGATTACTACGCGACCTTGGGTGATCCACTGTACATGTATATGCGATGCCAGTGAGCTTTCCCTATAACGAACAAGGATACGTACCGTTAGCCATGCAATAACTTACACATGGACTGTGCCTAGTACAATGGAATTGCTTCTGGGGGGCATGCACTTCGCACCCCCGAAGAGGCTGCGCGCCGTAGCCCCCCTGCTTGTCCATCCACGTCGACATGACAACTCCCAGGGGTTCGTAATGAAGTACAAAGATTGTCATTGCGCGTATTCGTGGCTACACCATTGTATGGGAAATGTGTACATCAACAGACGTATGATGTAGTAAGAGCATCTCCACCGGTTGGGACTTATGACCTGGCCTTATACGGATAATGTACGGATAAATTAGAGTCTTATGCTGATTCCAGTGATAAGTTTCATTTTCCCCACCCGTCAGACTTAAATGCGCGGGACGACAAGGGGCTGTGACAGTGATAATGAGTGCATTTACATCAACCGCGACCCGTTGCATTCCATCATTGACCGAATAGTTAACATTTACGTCGAAAGTATAGCTCAAGGGAGTAATACGAGCCTTCGATGACGAGAAAGTCGCGTGCTTTCGCATTACATGCTGCTTCTTGGAGCATTGTCGCGATGCCACTGGCAAACATAGAGAAAACAAGGTCGCCCGTGGCATCTTGTTGGAAGTACCTGTAAATGCGTCAATTCCTATCATTGCCGCACACATCATAGAAGCCATACACCTGCAGCAGCGCATATACCTGCAGCAGAGCGTGGAAGGCGCTGGACGACGGTGGTCGCGGTGCAGTCGTCTGGCGCGAGCGACTGGTCGTCCATCGCGCTGTTGCCACCCGGTTGGTCCGCCAGCAGTATCACGAAAGGTGGGCGACCACCTGAGCCTGTTGATGAACAAAGTGGCGTGGACGGAAGAGGAGGACGACTTGATCTCAAGACGAGGGGTCGCGTCGGAAACCAGCGGACCGACATCCCGAGGTTGTTGACGGGGCTCACGGGCAACGTTATGAAGGCCGGCGCGCATTTCCCCCGAGCTAACAATCGTCGGCGGCGCCTGTTGCCGTTGCCTGCAGGACTCCCACCCGAAGCTCCCGAGCTGCCGCAAAGCGAACCACGATGGTCCGTTTCATGTCCCTAGCCACCACCACGTCGGCAATACTCACCTTCGTGACCTCCATCATCGCGACCGCCCTGTCCGCCTGCAGACCGGTCACCTCCACGGCCCATCGCAACGTCAGCCTTCGTTGGTCATCAGTGTGAATTGACAGCGTGTAAATGGGAATTTTTATAAAGGTTGCATGCTGTATTGTATTTGACTATGTTGAGTAGTACTTTTGTATATTATTTTTGATTATATTACTCTTCCGGATAGAATAAGTCAGGCGGGTGATATTTACATCAAACTTGACGAAAAAGTCCTATGATAGGGATTTTCGGGGCTGAACTTATGTTTGGACTTATTGAGACCCCAATAAAACCAACGGGTGGGAGTATAAGTCCAAATCTGGTCCTATCTAAGGGTTATCCGTATAAATCAGACCTTTAAGTCTGACGAGTGGAGATGCTCTAATAACCAGGAGTCTGATGACTTCTACTTTTATTTGTCGTGTGATGGTTAAAAGCGTGGGGAGACCGATGAAATGGTCAGTTTACCATGTCGGACAAGAGCTCCAAGACGCCAGTACCACCTTGGTGGGGGCATGTTCGATTGCAGAGTGAGGGATATAATGCATGGAGTCGGAACGCGAGACCAACGAAAAAAAGGTCCACATCGAGGACGGGGTTTTCATTGTATTTAAACTCTAACGAGGTGGCCAATCAAAAAAATCGAAGTTGTCTGAAATCCAAAGTTGCCAACCGAAATCCATACAAGTACTCCGGAGTATATTACAGTATTGAGTGAAGAGACATGAGCGCGAGACATGAAAATAAATACTCATTTTTTGCCTGTGAGGAGTGAGTGCATGGCCGTCCACGACTACTCCGGCGTCATCTCAAACGTGAATTCACCTTCGGCCGACACCATGTCAAGCGACCGGACGTGCCTCATCAGCGGATGCAACGACGTGGTTTTGCACAACTCGTGGCGTTGTAAGCTCCACCGCCATCGCGGCATGTGCATCATCGACAACTGCACCAATCAAGCGTACGCGAGACAGTTGTGTTGCCGACACGGCGCCAAGAAGGAATGCGCCGTCGACGGATGCAACCTGCGAGCCCGTCTCGACAACGTATGCTACAAGCACGGCGCGACCAAGAAACTTTGCACCGAGGTGGGGTGTACTCAGCCCGCGCAAGCCCGACAGCGCTGCGTCAAGCACGGAGGCGGACGGCAGTGCAAGCGACCTGGCTGCACAGCCCACGCCAGAACAGGGGGGTTCTGCCAGCGCCATCGCACCTCCTCCGACGTGCCTACCCCTCTACAGCTCCTCCCAACTGTGACTGCTTCGAAAGGAGGGATCAACATGACAACGTTATGGGGGGACACGGCAACGTTGCTGGCCGTAAAAGCCACGTCTCCCCCGACTCACAACCGGTGCTTCTCCATGGATTCGGCCACCGACGTCTCGCAAGTGAATCATACGTATGCCCCTCCACACCAACCATCTATGATGCACCTCATCCAGGAAATGAACCATCACACGGTTGCCCCGTTGCAGCAGCAGCGGTGGGACCCACTGCATTACCATCACGACACGAGCATGTTGCGGGGGATTTTTGAACTCATGGACGACCTATGAAAAGGATGGCTACGTTATAAAGATTATATACTATTAATACTAGGAACTACAAAGTAACGAGCTTGTTGTTGACTCTGATGGTACACGAGGTCCAAGGGACCAAGCCAAGATCGTATAGGATGTATGTACACTGTACCGCGTAGCTTGTCGCACACCCACTACCGTAGTATACTGGTACACTGTGCCGATTGATATACACATCTCGTGGGGGACACTGTCGAAACCCTGGTTTCTTGGCAACCAAACTCTAGCAGGTTCCTCGTGCATTCTTGTCTTGCACCATCAAATCAAACGCAGTCTGCCTTAGTATGGTACTAAAAGGACGTGGGGGTTTCCACGCGGCCTGTGACGCTACTTTGCCATATGTACGTGGTACGTTCGACAGGATTGCAATATGAAGATGCGATTGCGCCGGTGCAATCAGAGAAATTCTCACATACTGGTATGTTCTCTGTCCAAGCAGCAGCGTCCTGAATCCAATCGCCCCATTGTTGGAGACGCCGGGGTTTGGACAGCACGGGACACAGGTTCACACTTGTTCTTGATTGTGTCGATTGTACTAGTACTCGTTAAGGATGTCCATGTCAGCAGTAAACTTACTTCGAAGTACATTTGTGCTGTGCTGTACGTACTGTACAAAACTCATCCGAGAATTTTCGACTTGAGGGCAATAACTCTGAACGACAGTGACTGTAAAGATTTTCAGGCAATTTACGTATGGTCGTTGTTTTCAGCCCAATACAGTACTACCAGCAATGTACTAGTACAGTAGTACAAGCTAGCTACAAGTGGTAGTACAGTGTAGTACGGTAATACTGTATTTATAGTACCGGTACTACGAAGGTTCAGACTGCAGGGGCCAAGAACACAGCAAGAAAGGAGTACAGTACGTATCTTACGCAGGTCCAATGACACGAAATGTACAAGTATACAGTATCTAAGCGCTAGCTACATGTACCTGTACGGCCAGGCGACCTCGTGTAGAGTACTAACGTTACTAGTAAATTGTAGGACGGCCTAATTCGAACACAATTGACCCGTCGAAGAATATACTCCGGAGTACTGTACAGTTATTAATACTATTAATAGTAACGTCAGAACAGTACATGTACAGTACCTTTATCCAGAGCAACCGAAGCGGCAGGTACGATTCCATGGTTAATTGAGTTTGGGTTATCATTTGTTTAAGACATAGGTACGATTCCATGGCGTTATTTTAAGAGTCGTGACGGTGCGTAATTGGCACTCTGCGTTTGTTTTTATCCGAACAATTCACCCGAAGCAGGTCGCAAAAGACACCGAGTACAACAGTACGTACTGGATTGTTGGCACACACGAATGAATCCAGGAACATTCCCCGGCATTGCACTATTCATTTGACTACGTACGGAGATCACACGATCATGCTTTTTTGCCGGCTGTTACCTCCCCGTGCCTCCCCCTCGTCCAAGTGTGCGCTCCATGCATATCGTCGACATTGCAAAAGTCCACGCGTGCCGCAACCAAGTGTACGCCCTCGGCAACTTTGCGCCGGCCACGGGGGCAAAAACGTATGTCGCCCTGGCTGCACCCTTCGGGCCCGAGTGGCCAACGTTTGCTTCCAGCATGGTGCGAACAAGAAAATGTGCGCGTGGGCCGGGTGCCCCAAGCCCGCCCACGCGAGAACGTACGGCGTTTGTCGACGCCTCCGTCGTGAACACAAAAAAACAACCGCCTCCCCTCCTCCTCCTCCTGGCCCCCCCCCGACGTTATTCAGATGGCCCTCGATTCCCTCCAATACGACAGGGGGGGCAGTAACGCGGATGCTTTCGGTTGTGTCGGTTGGGGCTGCGACAGCGTTGACATTCTCGATGTGCTTTTAATGTCGTCCTTATAATCGCGCGATAGTACGTACGCCAGCTCCATATTTTCCACCATGCGTTGTGCTACATGAGTGGGCTTTTCAATCATCGCGGTTCCCCTTGCTGGACGATGATGATTCGATAGTGTTCACCGTATCCACAACGAAAACACCTGTATTGGCTGGACGACTGTTTCCCCTTTTACCCCATGCAATAATAATGGTCTGCGGGTAATGGAGTACTTTGGTTGGAACGATAAGAATGTCAACATGCACGTAGAATCGCAGGGTCTGTCGTCGTTTCGTTGGTGCGTGGGTACGAACCAGCGACGCCGTTGGAACTTTGAATATAGTACACACATATATCATATTCGTGTTTTGCATGTAGCTTTCCAGGACGACTTATGGCTGTTCGATAGATAGGCACGGACCGAGGGGGGGGGGGGCATGTGTTATGGGTAGTTTGAACTGGCGGACAAGACAAAATCCGATTTTTGCGTCGTTTACCATCTCCAGATAAGTATGGACGACGCTGTCGCCGTTAGCCTACACGTTCAAAACTCCTGAATTCCGAGTTGAGCCGCATCTTATTCGTGCGATCGTGGGACCGCGGTCGCAGTGGCGTGAGTTGCAAACTCCCTTTATTAAGCTACTGTAGCAGGCTCCAGCAACGAGGCGATACATCGATTCAGAGGGCGACCAGCCAATAAAAAATACACCATCCATTGTCGGGGTGGAGTTACAGTTTTTACCACAACGGGGTGCTGCAGATATTTCCTCTGTCGACCAACCCCCCCCCCACCCCCTCTAACGTTATGTTTGTAGACTTGGTTTTCAAACTCGTTATATAGCGACTATCTTCGGATCGTGCGGTCAATAATACGCGTGTAGCCACGACCAGCAATGAATCGTTGGAACGGCCCCTCGTCCAACGCGCGGAGAATGTCTTGCTGGATGTTGACAAACAAATTCGGAGATGGGAAGTCCGTCACGTGGGTGCTGCTGTCCATGGCTATCGAAAGCCGGCGGTGCTTTTGATTGTCGTGCATCGACTGTCGACACGAGTCGAGGTCGGCGGCCTGGAGCTGCGCGCCGGCTTGTTGGGCTGCCTACAATAGACCCACGTCAAGTCGACCTGTAGCAAAACCCAACACAACATCCTTCTCGTACTGTATGTAGCACACACAAGAAGGATATGTACATTATCAACCTACTCCTCTGGATTCTTCAGGTTGGAGATACACAATCATAATGCACACTCTTTTCACCATCCTATATATATATATATATTGTCAAGTCGATTCGAAATTGGATAATAATGCACACTCTTTCCACCATCCTATATATATATATATATTGTCAAGTCGATTCAAAATTGGAGTGTTTGGGTGCTCAATCGAATGAGCAGCACCAAATCGGCAGACAATCGATATACGACCAATCAAAAACCAGAGCACGAATCAAGTGGCCAATCAAAATCACGCTTCGATCAATTCAACACCGATTGGGGCGAATCAGCACAAAAGTCCATATTTTAGGTAAAAGGACTATACATACTGTATATCCTAATAAAATAACACAAGAGGTGCAAAAATTATGTATGTAGCCAATGGACTTGCACACAGATATATATATCGACATTGGCAAAACTGTTGAATAATCAAGAGTATCAATCACACACTCTATGCATGAGCGTGGTTTACCGGAATGTACTGGAGCAGCAGGCGCTTGACGTGATCCCATTCGTCGGTGGCGTTGGTAGCACTGGACGCGGCTTGCTGGAAGCGCACGAGCCCGTTGCGTCGAAAGAGGTCGCACTCGGCCCATGTATCGAGCAAAATCACACTCGCCATCGACTCGGACGTCATGAAGTCGCGAAACATCTTGCGAAGGGCCGCGTACCCCAATATGCCGCTCACGGCGAACGGCGCGCGCTCTTGCTTGCGTTCGCACGTCGTCACGGCCTACATATATCACCGTACGAGTTTTGACATATATTGATATGTGAAAACACACAACCAATAGATTAGTATTCCGATGATATTGGAACCGCCAATATATATATGTACAATAGACGACCCATCTGTGGATTCAAAATACAACACAACACGACGTCGTTCGTTCAAAAGTAGAGTCGGTATATATATTATATATAAATAAATATATATATATATCATTATCAGCCCAACATTCATCGATCATTTCATCCAGAAATAAATGTATATAATACAGTATGTATCGTCCGTTATCAGTGAATATATAGTTGAACCTATGTACATGTATCATCAATAAATATGAACCAATCTATATGTATCGTCAGAAAGTACATATGCACATATATATCATCATCATTGAATGTATATGAACTAATATATATGTATCATAAGCGAATGTATATATATATATATATATATATATATGAACCTCGTCGACGATGAAGATTTCGGCCTTGGTGAGCACTTGGTTTTCTGCCGCGAGTCGGATTTCTCGGTGCAGCGCTTGGATCCACGCCATCATGATGTCGTCCGTGTCGGTGCAAAACTACATCAACAGCTCGTATCCATAAATATAATATATATATATAGAAATAGTATATTTAGAAATGATATATATAGAAATATATACCCTGTACACGCGCCGACTTGTGTGCAATTCAAAACAGTGCGGCACTAGCGCGTCTTGCTTGACGATGTGCGCATTGAGCAGCGGGATGGCCGTGACATCTCGTTGATTGGCCTCGCTCTTGCAATAGTAGAGCTTGTCATCTTTCAAGACAAACCATCTCGACCGCCACACATTGGCGTCCTTGACGCTCGCCTTCTTCAACGGCCCGGCCCGAAGACCCTATCCCCGTTATGTACGTACATGAGTTGGATCGAACGATGTCGCAGATTCGTACAAGGCCGAGTTTCTGGGGCAAGAGGAACACTGTGTCCTGGGACATGGTCGTGTTGCGCGGGTGGGCGGCGTGGCTGCCATATTGACTGAGCGTTGTTGTTGTAGAATTCGAGTAGTTGGGCGTGAGTTCGAGCTCGGCTTCTAAATCGATTGGCTTGCCGCGAATGTCCTATATATCAAAGAATATGTTGATTTCGACGCGTTGACACTAGATATATATACATATATACAAGTGTCGTGGAACCAAGACATTTGCACACAATTTAAACATCACCATGCGAGTATTCAACCAAACCACTGGTTGTGTCAATAGGCCAAAACATTGAATTCTGCAAAAAAAATATGCAGAAAAAAGAAGAAAAAAACGATTGTAAACGTGGAGACATAAAAAAAAAGCAAAAAAAAAGCACGCCAGGTCGAGACGTACTTTGAAGATAAACTTGAGCGTCTGCCGCGCCCGATGCCGCGGCTTGGCCCGAACCGGTCCAGACGTTTCATTAACGACGATCTCTGGGGTCGATTGGCGCTCAGAATGGATAGCTTCTTGCACTTGGTAGATACACTCGTTGTCGTGGAGCGTTCGAGCCGACATGGACGACCCTGCATGTCACGACCCGTGATGCGTATCTCGTAACCGATAGGCAACTTATGTACCTTTGCTATTGACGTACAGCATGAGAATCGCGTGGTGCGCGACTTGCTTTAACGACAGACGCATCTTGTTGGCCATAATGTGCCGCACCTACGTGTAAAGAGGTATGCTGTCGTTGTTCGGGTATGTACATGGATGTCGATGATATGGCCACATGTACAGACCTCCAACACGCTGGTTTGCTCTTCCACACGCAGCACCGTGCTCGATGTAAAGTTGGAGTTTTCAAAGTAAATGCGTACAAACCCGCGGCGAGCAGCCGTCGCGTCCTGCTCCGACGACGGCGCCACCGCCGCCGCCTTGTCAGTGTCCTGGACCACGCCAAAGCCTACCATTCATCCGTGAATCCATGAAACCGACTCATCGCAATGTGAGCACTGTTACTCGCAAGCTGATGCGCCGATGCACCGCGAGACGATTGCCGAAAGCTGTCGGCGGCGGCAGCAGGGTCGACCGCCGTGGACGAGCGCAAGGCGGCATCTTCACGCACCCGCTTCAATGGCGTGGGGCCCAGCGGTGGCGATCGGAGCAGCGTATCTGGATCGCATATTGTGGAGCGGCTAGACTCAAGCATTGGAGTCAAGTCCGACATGTCCGAGTCGCGTAGCAGCGTCTGCTTCATCACGAGCGTTGTCGTCGAACTGGCGTTGTCGGGATATTCGGCTCGTGCGCTGATTGGCCGACGTCTCCCATTATCAAGTTTCACAGGTACCATGAGCAATAAAGTGTGGAGTTCGCTGTAAAGTGTCATTTTGGAACGCAAAAAGAATTGTAATTTATAATTAATCGTAATTGTCTCACTGCAAGTAATTTAGTTTCGACCGTTCGATCACCAATTGGTGGACCATATTGACCAACAATGGTCTAATTGACCAACAATGGTCTAATTGTATTCAACCTCCTCCCTTCTTACAATAATACAAATCACCCTGATCACAAATACAGTAAGTACTATGGCGACCTCATACTCCCCAAAGGAACTCGCCAAAGTCTTCTTCGAGACCATCGACGATTCGTCGTCCCGCGACCCCAAAACTGGCAAGCACCGCATCAAAACTCAGTTCACGTGTCGCCGATGCGCGGCATCCAACATCATCACCATCAGGAAATCGGGTACTGTACCGAAACCTTGCCCAACACGGGACCAATTCCCCGAGTGAGTGGGTTACACACCCACTCAATGGTCAAATGCCCACTCACTCAGGGAATTTGGTACTATTGACCTAAAACGTCCCTGAGTAAGTGGGTGGGACTAATTGCTTGCTACGATAAGTACAATCCTATGGTTAACGTGAAACACGAAGGCATACAACGTTGTACACCGTTAATCGTACCAACTACTGTATGTACTGTAGGGGAGGCAGTTTTTCACTCGTGGTGTTTTGGGGTTTTGCTCATGGATGTTCAGGTAGAGTTAGACATGGGGCTTCACTCGTGGTTAAATGGTGTGGTGGAGTTTTACTTAGTGGGCATTACTGGGTTGTTGCTTTATAGTCGAGCAGCCCAGTA